ATGCGGGGCAACGACTTTGTGTCCACAAATAACCACCTAAACAACCTGGAGACCTGCCAGGTAAGAGAGCCGACCTCAGCAACAAAATGCTACCAGCGGGCATTTTAGTAATAACAGCTAGAGTGAGAAAAGTTCAACTCAGTACTGTCTACCAAGTATAAAAACCAACTATCAGTGTGCAGATGAGTTCTTACTTCTGGGACTGGACCGACTTTGACCAGGTCCAGGAACATCGATCAACTGCATGACTGATATCTCACCGTCACCAGTCAATAAGTTTTCGTTCATTTCTTCCATCCTTTACCAAATGACTATCTAATCACACACTAGTTCGGTGAACTGAATACATCCGACAGCATAAGGGAAGTTACTTCTGCTATTGAAACACCATTTTTGAACGCAATGGTCGAATTATCATTTACGCCGAGATGGTTGACGCTCAGTTAGCGCAACGTGACTAGAACCAAAGGCCACTGGTTTTTCTACTAACGGCAGTAAGTAACTAGCAGTGTTTAGGAGAAATCCTAATCTTCAACAGTACCTCATGTTTCCACTTCCATTTATACTAACGGTTCATCGGCACAGCAGACCAACGGAAACCGATCAACTCGTTGTTAGATATTAAGGTAGGGAACACGTTTACATCGAGCTACTCAACCCATTCCACAGCACAACGAACCAATCTCTAGATTTTCCTCCCCAAACCTGATTGAGCTCACTGGCTATTCCTACGGAGACGCACCACTAAAGCTGGACAAAACCTCAATCCGGCGTTTGAAATTCGGGCACAGGGCTATAGAAACTGACTTCTGAATGGAACGCCAGTTAAACAGTTAAGCGCTCCTGTGATTTTTCAGTAGTTAATTTTCTAAGCAGAATAAAGCCAGTAGATTGCTTTTGACGATGGTCGTTAACTTCCTTAAGTCACCCTGGATTCACCTGCACTTCTCTGGTGCTAGTGAGTCCGCCGAACCGAAAGTTAACTGTAGTCTTCCCATCAATCCCACTGAGAATGTGGACACACAAATGAAGTGTTTATTAAAACATCCACCCTCAAATGATGACGCAAAAGAGAGACAGCCTTCGGCGGCGCAACGCTTGATTGATGTCAAACCAATAGCCCTGACTGAACTGCCGGATCGCCAGTATTCGGAAACCAGGCGTGACAAAACGTTCAGAGTTCGACCGACTAGTTCATGACGAAAGGTACATCGATGAAAACTGAACCGCCGACGAGCGCCAAACAGCGGTCTCCAGTTATGGATCTTATGCGGAAACCGATCGCGATGCCTGGTCCGTCAGAGCTAACAATCAGAATACCAGTGTAATTAATCGACGATATCACGTGACCGCAACAATTTCAACCACGCTGTCCCGTCCGGATCACATGCCACGAACATGCTGGATGCGAGACCGGTATCCCAATAAGATGGCACTCCTGAGAACTGCACAAATCTGACGGGCATTACAACACGTCCCAGCAGTCGCTATGGACACCGAACATGAACTTCATGGCCTCACTTATGTTCGGGTGGCAGCCCGTAGAACCCATGCGGTCAATGAGTCAGTCGTCCAGCGACGGCACGCAGCGAACTCAATCGATCACAAGCGGCCTGCACTGCGGATTCAAACAGCCAACTACAAATCTAATGGTGACAATTTTCACCCCTGAATACGGGTACCCTGCTGCACATTCACGCGCCCCGAATCCGGAAGCTCTGGTGAAAACACAAAGGAATGTAGAACACAATTGACCATACGGGTAAATAGCGGATTGACCGCCGTCAATAAAAGCTTTTCCACAATTTTCTCAGCACTCGGGCGTTTTCTTCAGTTCGCAAATAGCAGTAAGGCTTGCGTAATAAAATACTTGCCTTACACGAGCTAAACCGTTTCCGGTGTTCGGAAGAGAGCATAGCACAACGCCGAAAACGCACCTGCGGAATCAACCAACTTCGCTGGCGAGGCGCCCATAAACGAGTCAGTTAAATGTTGCGAGCAAAAGGAACATTTTAAATGCATAGGTGCTTTTATTCACCGGAAAAAGGGAGGGACTTTGAACAGATGGAGACTGAAAGGTAGAAATCATGACTACAAAGTAAAGATCTAAACTGGACTGGAACAACTTTACATCATGCCCATGCCGCCCATACCACCCATTCCACCCATACCAGCAGCAGCGTTCGGCGCCTCATCCTTGGGCAGTTCGGTCACCACTGTTTCCGCAGTCGTGAGTAGCGACGCCACTCCCGCTGCATCAACCAAGGCAGTCCGGACGACCTGCAAATAGAGAAGAAAGCGGTAATTAAGTATCAAGAATGTATTGTGCACTACAAGAATCTGGTGAAGGTATAATACTCACCTTGGTTGGATCGATGATACCAGCCTCAAGCATGTCGACATATGTATCGTTCAGGGCGTCATAACCCATATTGCCACCGAGACTCAATACTTTTTCGACCACGACAGAAGCATTCACACCGGCATTTGCAGCGATGGTGAAGGCAGGTGTGGAAAGAGCTCGCAGGACGATTTGAACACCTACAAACAGATATTGGGTTAGTAGAGAGCGATTAAAAAAGTGCTGACACCATCACAGCACGGAAAAAATACAACCAAAAATAATGTGAGCCAAACTGTACTACGTGGGTTTAGCTGCTTCAGTGTAGGTCGCTTTCGACCCAAGACCAAACGATGTTGGCATGGAACACAGCGACCGGAACGAAAAGGGGGAGAAATGAATACAAGCAAAATGTATATAGAAAATTTCGCAACGTTGTGGTAAGACTACCGTTTTGTTGCTTATTTTGTAGGTCACCTTCGACCCAATGTCCAGTAGTCTGGCATGGAACACGATGACCAATCACGGCGTTTGTGAAAATGTACCAACAGTGGAGTACTCACCGATCTTTTGGTCCTCATTTTTGCATTGAACGTCCTTCAGACTCGGGATACAGCGGAGTAATGCTACACCTCCTCCTGGAACGATTCCTTCTTCGACAGCAGCGCGAGTAGCGTTCAGGGCATCAGTATAACGATCTTTTTTCTCACTGACCTCGACTTCACTGCTACCACCGACTTTGATGACCGCAACTCCATTAGAAAGTTTTGCCATTCGTTCCTGCATTTTTTCCTTCTCATATTCGCTGTTAGATTGCTCAATCTCGCTCTTAATTTGTGAAATTCGCTTATCAATGTCCGCTTTCGATCCTCGACCGCGCATCAAAAGACAGTCGTCTTTGGTTATAACTGCTTCAGCTACTCGCCCCAGGTCTTGAATTTGGACGTCTTCTATTTTGTACATGTCAGCTTCATCTCCGAAGACCTAGGAGAAAAAAGTTTTCGTTGAAAGTTCACAAAAAAGCAGTATAGATCAAAATGCAACAAGCAGACGAGTTAAAACTTACCACTCCGCCAGTGGCAATGGCCATGTCTTTGAGGGTGTTCTTCCTGTTATCCCCAAAACCAGGGGCTTTAACGGCACAAACTTGAAGACCCAGCTTCAAACGATTGAGGACTAAGGCCGTCAGAGCCTCGCCCTCAACGTCTTCAGCGATAATCACTAAAGGTTTCTTCTGTTGATGACAAAGCTCTAGGGCTGGTAGCAAAGCCTGGATACTGTTGAGCTTCTTCTCGGAAAATAAGACAAACGCATCTTGAAATTCGCATCGAGCTCCCTTCTCGGTATTAATGAAGTATGGGGAAATGTAGCCCCGGTCAAACTTCATTCCCTCTATGAATTCGATTTCATCATGGAGTGTTTTCCCATCCTAGAAGGTAGTATTAAGCATTAAGAAGAATTACCTTTACAGTGATCGTGCCATCATTTCCCACTTTTTTCATTGCAGATGAGATCAGTTCACCGATTGCATGATCACCGTTGGCTGAAATGGTTGCCACCTGAGCGATCTCTTCGGGTGTAGAAATGGGCTTCGACAGCGCCTTCAGTTGTTTGACGGCGGCATCAACAGCAAGCATGACGCCACGACGGAACTCAATAGGATTGGTCCCCTTACTTATCTTCTCAAAGCCCTCCTTAGCGATCGCACGTGCGAGCACGGTAGCAGTTGTTGTGCCGTCGCCGGCCTCTTCGTTGGTATTGTTGGCAACGTCTTGCACCAGCTTGGCCCCGATATTTTGGAACTTGTCTTTTAACTCAATTCCCTTCGCGACTGTGACTCCGTCCTTTGTGATTTTGGGGGACTTCCACGAGCTCTCTATGATAACGTTTCGTCCCTTCGGTCCCATCGTCACTGCGACAGCATCTGCCAGAATATCAACCCCCACAAGCATTGCAGCCCGTGCGTCGGCACCGAATTTCACATCTTTGGCATAATAACGCATGGCAACGTCTTGCACCAGCTTGGCCCCGATATTTTGGAACTTGTCTTTTAACTCAATTCCCTTCGCGACTGTGACTCCGTCCTTTGTGATTTTGGGGGACTTCCACGAGCTCTCTATGATAACGTTTCGTCCCTTCGGTCCCATCGTCACTGCGACAGCATCTGCCAGAATATCAACCCCCACAAGCATTGCAGCCCGTGCGTCGGCACCGAATTTCACATCTTTGGCATAATAACGCAGACCCAGAGCACTGGTACCACGGAAGACGGAAGAGCGCAGACTAGACAGAGCACGCAACATGTCGCACGCGGATTAGAACACGCCAGAATTACCCAAGGTCGTCAGCGCACTAAAAGAAGCCTTGAAGTCTTTAAGTAGTACTCGGGTTCGAGGCATGCGCTCAATATTCCCGGTTCCGGATTTGTCTTCCTTTCTGTCTTGAAGACTTGAAATGATTCTGCAATATGTGATGAGCTGCAACGAGGAACGACACGGCTCAAATAATCAACACCTCAAGATACCACAAAACTCATGAGAATACAGGTGTGTGAAGAAGTCTTGAAGTTCAGTTCAGTTCAATTCAGTTCAATTCAGTTCAGTTCAGTTCAGTTCAGTTCAGTTCAGTTCAGTTTGCACAGGACGGAAGTTGTCGAGGCCAATCCAATCCAATTTTCAAGGACGTAGAGGCCTCGGCCTTATGGTTGTCCTGATTCTGGCTCGACCTCGTCGGTAGACCTATCGAGCTGTATGTTTGTCCGGTTTGCAGCACGGTCAATAATTCCGCGACCGTCCGAGGATGTGGGATTCGGATGTAGTAGTTGTTGCGTCTGTTATTGGCAAGGCTGAAAAAGAGAGGGAACATACTGTCTTCTCGCCGTGTCGGTGACAGACTTACGTACACTTAATCGTAAGCGTTCCTGCGTGTGCATGCTGTACATGCACATCACGTTGTGTCTAACATGGGGGTGGGGAGAATAAAAGAAGGAGCTTTTTCCCCTTTTTGTTAGGTCATTTCTGGTTTTGCGAACTATTCTATTGGCTTACTTTTGCATTTTGCTCACCTGTCTACGTCAATTATTCGGTACGGAGCCCATGCTTGGACGCAGTCATCTAGGTGAGGGCCAATCGTGCGTCCAGATCGTTGTGTTGTCTGCTAGTTTCCTTGGCTTTTAACGCTGCTCTTCAAACGCTCGTTCTGCTTTTTCTGAAAGTCTGAATTTTTATTTGATGTATCTCTGCCACCAGTTGTTTAAAAAAGAAATACATCCATAGAGAAACAAACTCACTTAGTTCTTTGATCGCCACGCAAGTTGCCAGCGCCGGGAAATTCACTTCCCAGGATAGGTTCAAGGCCTTTTTAAAAGCCACAAATGTTGAGCAGCTTATGACATTCTCCGGCAATCTATTCTACAAAGGCACCATTCGGTTTGTGAAGAAACTGGCCCTCAACTCCAACCTGAAGTGCTCTCTTTGCAGCTTAAGGCTATGACCTCTTGTGTCGCACTCAGGTACAGGAACGAAGAGGCTGCTTAGTTCTATGCCCGACAACCGCTTTACTATCTTCAAGGTTTCTGTTAACTCACCCCTGGTCCTTCGGCGTGACAGCGAGAAAAGTCTCAGGTCCTTCAGACGCTGCGAGTAGCTCTTTCCTATCTGTCCAGCGACCATTCTGGTTGCCAGTCGTTGTACCCCCTCTAGACACTCCATATACTTGCGATAGTATGGGGTCCAAGCTTGCACGCAGTATTCCAGCAGTGGACGCACCATTGCCTTATACAGCGGAACGAACACTTCTGGCTTCCTGCATGTAACTGTGGNGAGTACTCCTCTTGCTTTATTTGCAGCCACTTGACATTGCCTTGTAGGCCGGAAGTCCTTTGTAACAATTATTCCTAGGTCCTTGACCTCCGTCGTGCCACGTAGCGCTACGTCCCCGGTTGAGTCTACATTCTTAGTCAGTAGCTGACACTCGGCAAGATTCAGGGGGTAAATCCCATCAAGCCGATCAGCTGCGAACTGGATCTAGGTCCTGGGTTAAGTTTTCACCCGCTATCTTCAGATCGTCCGCAAAGATGAAGCAGGGGTTGTGCAATTCTAGCGTGAGATCGTTGATGAAAAGAAGGGGGCCCAAGAACAGAGCCTTGGGGCACCCCGCTTGTAACCCTCTCTGATCTCGAAGTGTAGCTGTCAACCCGTACTGTGAAGCTACGGTTTTTAAGAAAATGCTTCAGCCACTGGCGCGTTGACCCGACTATTCCAACAGTTGGTAGCTTCGTGTCCAGCAACGTAAGACTCACCGAGTCAAAAGCCTTGCTGAAGTCTAAGTAACATACCTCCATTGCCCTACCCTGATGTAATCGACGTGTAGTCTCATCGAAAAACATAATTAGATTAGTTAGACACCACTTATTCCTGGTAAACCCGTGCTGAGCAGGGGATAGAAGTCCATGGGTCACCAGGTGCGCACATATTTGTTTTCTGAATATTTGTTCAAGTCACTTGCACAGCACTGACGTTAAACTGACCGGCCTGCAGTTTTTCGTCTTCTGTCTAGACCCTGTCTTGTATATTGCTACATCGGTTGCCTTCCGCCTGTCCTCTGGAACTACCCCGGAGGTCAGTGATGCCTTGAAAAAATCCTAGTATGACCTCAATCAGTGGCTGGACAATAGTTGGGTGGATCTCATCCGGGACCGCCACCTTGTGCTTGCACAGGCTTTTGAGCTCGGTTCATACCTCCTCGCGCACGACCAACGTCTGTCATTCGTTTCCAATGGTATCCACCAGAAGATTCCGGGCTCCATCACCGTGGGGTGAACGATAGACATTTTTGAAGTAGTCCATCAGCGTCTCAGCCCGGTCCTATGCTATGCTACCGTTCGCCACCTCCAAGGTTCCAACACTTTCACGTGTGGTTCCCTTGGATTGTACATAGGCAAAAAACCTCTTCGGGTTTGTTTTGATGTCTCTAGCTAGTTTCTTTTCATACTCGTACTTCGCTTCCCGCTGCATTGCCTGTGCCTTATTTCTNAGTTGACCCAAGAACTATGCGTTCCGTGAAGCTTGTAGAAAGCCCAGCACCCTTTACGAGACATTAGCGTTTCTTCTATTCTAGGCGACCACCAGGGAAGTCTGCTTCTGGACCTGTGAGGAACAAAGGGAGCAAACTCTTGTGTTAACCGTAGTAACCCGTCTCGTATTGCCACCCATCGGTCTTCGACTGATTTTTTAAGTGAAACAGGAAACCAGCTTATGCTCTTATCAGCTACCTTTAGTTGTTCCTCGTTGATCCTGGCGTAGTTTCTTATTAGTAGGGCATTCGGCCTATCGTGTCTCGCAACAAACTTTGGTCGAAGTACCCCATGGTCACCCCTAACGGTTCTTCCGTCATAAGAGCAGTGAGGTCTGTTCTGTACCTAGTTACAACTAAGTCCAACGTTGACGATCGGTGACCACCTCTGAATCGTGTGGGTTTTTGAGGTGCTGCGTTAGTCCATGTTGGTGCACCCAGTCCAAGAGTTCATCACCAGTGGTATCCTTTGGGGCACTTTCGTTGTCCCAGTCTATTTTTGGCAGGCTAAAGTCGCCCATTATGAAGAACCGCGATGATTCCCTCACTATGTTACCTAGGATTGTCACTCAGGCAGAATCCTCTGCCCTATTAGACTGCGGCACCCTGTAAACACAGAGCACTCCCACCGGTCTACTCCCCAGTCGGACATAACAGGACGCGGCCTGTACGTTCGGTGTGACTAAGGTAAACGGAGCTTCCCACTGGCAGTATTCTGCTCTTACCAGTAGTAGTACCCGCCACTGAGCCTACCGTCTATTCTGTCCTGCCTATACCGGATGTGATTGTTGGGGTCAGTAGCCGCCTGGTCCTCCCTCAACCACGTCTGGGTGATGCCAATAATAGCCTTTGTGTGGGTTCTCGCCATTAGTTAGCCCCATTTTCCTCTTAAGCTGCAAGCATTAGTATACCACAAATCGGCCTGCACAATAGGTTACTTTGAACCTGCCCCGCTTGGACCCTCGGGCGGAGTAGCCGAAGGTGTACTACGTTTTTTACTTTGATATTTTCTGCTCTTGTGGGTTCCTGCACCGGCCAGGAGATACCGCTTCTAGTCATGGTGACATTTTTAAAGGACAATTTAAGTGCTGAACTTTCCCCTCTGATTGACCTCCTAGACTCACCAGATGGGGTCTGCTCTCTGTAGTTCACAGTTTTTCAGGCGGTGTGCGAACAACAACGGTTGTCCAACTAACCTGAGTTCCTTGATCAATACTGCAACTATGCTCACATGGTACTGATAAGGCTCGACGTACTCGATCCTTATCTTTCACTACTGCGATCTGTCGCTTTTCCTGGAGCACTTTTAGAGAAACATTTGTGACCAGTGAACTATTCACACTAGTTTTGACCCTGCCCGCTACCGACCCATCTTTATCGGCAG